GACGGCCCCTTGAATATGTTCGGGTTTGCGATTTTTCTGAAGAGCCAGAAAACCAGATGGTGTAAGTCACTAATCAATCGCCTTTGCTCGCTCGGGAACAAGATTAGGAAAGGAAGGCACCCGTGAGACAATAAAACTACGTGAAAATGACCCTTATCATTTACAGGTGGAAAACATAAAGCTGTCATGGATTCGCATTATGAGGACTGTGAAGAACTACTCGAGACCGCAACATACGAAACCTACACTCTGAAGGAGATACTCTACACCGCCAACTGTAAGCCCCCTGGATGGGAGGATTTCTTTGATCGTGCAGACGTCGTGCAAATGATGGAAGTCATCTCTCAGCAAATCCAGCAAGACTCTCACCTTGGAATTAACCCGGATATTGGAAACGTCTTTAGAGCGTTTAATATGGTTTCACCTGACAAACTCAGGGCAGTGATTGTGGGACAAGATCCAGCTCCCCAGCCGGGGCTAGCAACAGGCCTCGCTTTTAGTCTGGACCCCTCGGTCGACCCTTCCGAGGTCCCCAGTGTGCAGAGAGTGATACTCGAGGCTCGCAACGGGGGATACTGTGTTAATACTTCAGATGGGGTTTTGATTAAGTGGGCTGAGGAAGGCGTTCTTCTGCTCAACGCAGCGTTGACACTAATCCAAAACGATATAGGTTCTCACATTGACCTTTGGAAGAATTTCACCCAAGCAGCCATTGATTACACCAACGATAACACCAGTCCATCGGTCTGGATTCTTTGGGGATACCACGCAAAAGCCTTTGAAAGTAGCATCGATAAGAGGAAGCACTACATTCTGAAGGGGGGCCACCCTTCACCAAATGCCGATGGAAAGTACTTTTTCTGTCATAATTATTTTGCATGTGCTAGTGAGTGGCTGTGTAAGAAAGGGCGTGGCATGATAGATTGGAACCTACTTCCTCTACCTTGCCAAAAGCATGCAAGCCGTCTTTACCACAGGATCTATGAAGACCCAGGTTATTGCGATGGAGACCTTTGTGAAATGTGGTATTGTCCTTATTAAGCAAGAAATATCAGCTAATAAGCTTGAGGTTCAAATAAAGAAGATACATGATGTTCAATAATGTGTGTTATCTTTTCTGAGATTTGTGCGTGGCAGAGAATTAGACACAAAGGAATTTAATGCGGCTTTTTATAATTGAATTCCATTGGTTTCTGTTGTTTACTTTACCGTTCAAAGGTGCGGCAAAGGGAAAGGACTTGCAAAGGCTTACCGAAAGTGTATTTGTAGTAGAAAAGTTCCTTCGCCGTTTCATAACGAACAAATTGTTGAAGAGAATTG